AAAAAGAAAAAAACTCTTCCAGTCCTTGCAGATTGCTTCCTTACTGGGGCATTCTTCAGTGCTCAGCTGGGCCATTTACAACATTGCCTTATCCTTCACTCCTGTTCCTGGGAGACTGGTTCAGCCACAGGTGAGGTCTTTTCTGAGCATTTGTCCAGCCCTGGTCATGTGCTTCGCCTTCATAATTCCTTGGTATATATGGTAGCTTTAAAAATCCCTTATTCTTTCATGTATCTCTTTTCCCAATCTCTTCCTCTGAGGCTTTCGGGTCTATTCATTGCTTGTCCTAAGTATCATCTATGGCCTCAGTTTGCTGTGGCCAATGCTTTTGCCTTGAAATACTTTTGCTTTGAAACACTTTCTGCAAATGCTACCTGAGATGCTGCCACAGCCCTGGGGATGCTCTGAATTGGTCAAAACAGAGGCAGGCTCTTAAACCAGTCCTTCAGGGAGCTGCCAGGCAGGTAAAAAAACTAACTACTATTCTTTGAGAATAAGGTTTGTTTTGTTCCCTCTGGCAATAGCAACCTGCATCAGTAGTGTGGGTTACCATCTTCATAGCTACCATTGATCTGGGAAATAAGGGACAAGGTGGGCAGTTTAAAATGCAGCAGAGCCCTTTTACTGTAATATGACAGCTTCTTTATTCATTAGTTCCTATTAATTCTCTAGTGAATTCCAGAGTTCTGGAAAAGTTGATTGAGTTATGTTTTTTTTCCAGGTTGTTAGTTGATTTTTTTTGGAGGGACAGAACCCTGGAGTTTTCTACTCTACCATTTTCACTTGGTTCTTTTTCTTTTGTATCCTTTATTGAATAACTTCATTTTTCCCTTTCTGTATTCTTTATTGAATTTTTATATATTCCTAAAAAAGTAAATTTAAAAAAATCTTGGTTTTACCTTTATTAAAAGATATTTTATATATATATATTATCATTTTCATCCATACTATTGTGTATGCTAATATGGTTAATGTTTTGACTGCTGAATGGTATTCCAGAGTGGGAGTATTTCTGGGTGATTGATTTAGCTTTCCCTGTGTAAATATTTAGTTTGCTTGCCTTAACTGAGGGTTTGTTAGCATAAGAGATTGTTCATTTTTCTAGGTATCAATCAACAGGCACTTTTAAGGCACCTAGTATGTACAGCACAGTACCGATGTGTGAAGGGTGTGTTGATATGGGATGGCGGGCCCAGCTGGTGCCTAACTCAAAAGTGACATGACAGGGATGACTGCAGAAGTGACTGTCCATGGACATGGAAATAGAAGGGGAGAATTCCAAGGCACCATTAAGAAAGAGTTGATGCAGGCTTTGTGGGAAATTGAGTATGGATGATAAAGGATCAGAACTTGAAATAACCTCTCAGGATTTCAAGCATCAGCAGTTAGGGTATATGTGTTTGAGGAATGGGATGATTCTAATAAGAAAAGCAACAGAGTTTTGAAAACTAACAGTGCATACACAGTTTTGCATTATATGAATGTCTCTGAGTCTGTTCCTCTTCAGGTTACTCCTGGATCAAGGCCGGAGTTTTAACTCTTCTCTCTAATTTTGGAATCTTCTTCCTGTAATCTAGCATGCATTTTCCTGTCTGACCGAAACTCCCATTTTATTGCCTACTTAACTACTCTGAGTTGCAGCTCCTGGCTTGCCTGGCTTCTCAGTCCTCTACCTTCCTGCCCAGTTATTTCTCAGTCCCCCAGATGGAGTTGGCACAATGCTCCTCTGCACCACTTCTGTTGTGATTTTTTGGCTAGTGAAGTCCTGCCACCCTCCCACCCCAGAGCCTCTCTGTCTCCCTGTTGCCTTTTAAAATCCTGTAATTCTTCAGCTCAGGTTTTGTTTTATCCAGGAAATTTTCCACATTTCTTTCTTCCTTTTCAGAATAGCTATTATATTTGGGGTGGACTTTTTACTGAATGACAGTCACCACATTGCCGAAATTACCTAAAATTTTAAAAACATACAGTCTGAATTCGATTTTATCTTTCTTTCATAAATAAGTTACTCATAGTCCAGGATGACATATGTGGGAAGAGTTTGTGCTTCAATTAAATTAATGAGGGCAAAAGAAGTAAATCTTGAAAATATTCCATGTGGTTAGAGGGATTTTCTCACTGAAGTTTAGAAATGTTGGCACCTAAATAGCGTTGTAAGGGTGGATCCAGTGTTTTAGGTCATCAAAGCTATTCTTTTTTCTGTCTGTGGCATAGCGCTCAGGCATGGCAGTGCAGGGGCCTGCGAAGGGCACCATCTGGCCAGGTGCTTTCTATTAGTTCTTCCTCATGGTGTTACCTGGGATCAGGTGCCTTGAGAGACCAGTCAGTATGCCTTACATACACTGCTTGTTGGAAATATCATCCTCCATCTGGTATTTTATGTTTAACTGAAAGTGATTTTTCATTGTCAAGTTTCTCCAGAGGCTTGTTGGCAAAGCTTCAGAGTTGAAGGTTGCTGCAAGGAAGTGAGATGTGCTGTGGGCCTTTGGCATGTTGGATTGTACCTCAGTAATCCATGGGGCTGGGGGGCAGCAGGGAGGAGGTGGGTATTATTAGGACAATTCATGCGTAAGGGAGGAGGGGACAGTCGGTGTGTAAGGGAGGCTTTAATTTGAGTTTAAAATGGCAAATCAGGGCTACAAAGTCCTTGTAGATTCAGCTCTCTTCGTAATGACATCTTTACCAAGATCTGCCAGTTCTTTCTGAAGGGGACAGACTGAAGCTACTATTTTAACTCATAGTTGAAATGCTACTTTTTTTTGTTTAACTGTTAAAATTTATTACAAAAGGGAAATCTTTTGGCTAGATTTCAGCCAAAAAATGCAAGGAGACAAAAATCTTTTATCTCATTACAAAATCATTTCTATCTTTTTGTAAAACACATTTTATCTTTTTACAAAAAATATATTTTTGTAAATAAATATTTATATTTTATCTTTTTACAGAAGCATTTTATCTTTTTACAAAAACATGCCAATGAATAAATATCTTTACTGCAGCATTATAGTGATATCAAACAATTAGAGAAGTTGAAAATGTTCACCTCTTATGGAATGAATAGTAATTTTATGGTACATCCTTATTGTGGGATATTATTTAAGTGCTAAAAAATAATGTCTATCAGTATGTGGAGATATAAAAGGAGGATTATAGTATATTGTGAAAAGAAATGATGCAGAATAACATATATGATCTATTTTTGTTCAGAAGAAAATCATGTACATGCACATGGAAGGTCATTAGGCAATATTTTATTAAACTCTTACTGTGTACCAGCACTATGTTGAACACTCATCATACCTAATGATCTCATTTAGTTCTCACAACAACACTGTGAGGTAGGCAATTATTTAACCTGCTTTACAGATGAGGAGTCAGCAGTTTACAGAAGTTAGGAAGCTTGCCCCAGGGTACAGAGTAGATTAGCGGCCAAACAGGACACCAGCCCTGAAGCCTACACTCCCAGCCACTGTGCTGTGTGTGCTTCTTGTTAACATTTATCTGCGGAAAGAATGTAAGGTGGTCTGGTATTTAAGTAGGGATGTCATATGAAACTTGTACATAAGCTGGGTACTGAATTAGGTGCCTTTCAGATCCTTCCCTGAATTTGTGTCCTGGCTGCAGAAGCCTCCTGCATCGTGTTCTGAAAGGGCCACTTCCCAGTACAGGACATCCCTCCATCCCCATGTGTCTTTGCCCTTTGATGCTATCATTCTTTTTGGAATTCAGAGGACAGTTAAGCTGTTGTTGGGTGACCTCTTACTAGCTGTGGGAATGTTGAAGAGTACTTGATACTTCAGCTTCATCTTGTCCTTTCAGAACATAATGGCTGTAGTTCTAACTGCTAGCGTAACCTAGGTCTGCAGTTCACATTAAACATTAGCTCTGGGTTTGAAACCAGTGTACCCAGAAGAAATTTACAAAGGGACAGAGATGTTGAAATATTTTAAGTGTAAACAGGAGGATTCCTGTATGCTGACAAGGACAAGGTTGTGTCCTCTAAAGTCCCTGTTTGATTCCTCATTATCTCATCCCTTCCCGTGGTCTTTCTCTCTCTGTACTTCAAGCAGTCTTATGCCCTAGTATTACAGTTCACTCTTTGCTAAATGCTTCTGTTTATAATATGTATATGTAAAAATCTCTTACTTTACCCCAGAAGAAATCACTTTAATATAGTTTTAATTCCCTGTAGAGATAGTACTACCACTGCTCACCAGTTGGCAAAATTCAAGATTTGGAGTACCAGAGAAAAATGTTAAATGCTCATAAGTATAGAGGGGATTTGGTCACCAGAAATGTTCATTGGGGCTATTGCATCCTACCCTTTGCTTCCCCCAGTCCACTGTCTGATGTGTGAGGTTTTGGTTGATTACTTTTTATTGTATTCAGTGGGAACTGTTTTCTCCACCCATTCTCATTCTCTGTGATCTCAATTCCCTATTGTTCCTTAGGCTTGAGGATGCAGCTAGATCTGAAAATGGGAATGAAATGAGAGATGCTGTCATTTAGTGCATGAATTGGTTAAAGATATAATCCTATCTACTTTTCTTGGTCAAAGCAACAAAAAAATGCAGGAGTTTTGTCAGCAGGATGTTTATTAAGTATATAGGACTGAATATATAGATGTTTGATTTATGATATGAAAGCTTTGGGTTACTGCACTCTGATAATTTCCCTGTAATGAATCTGTCTCTCAAGAGTTTTTCTAAAAAACGTCGGTTTCTATAACTTGTCCAGATGCTTTTTAAACATCTTGTTTGTTAATACAACTGCCAGTGTCTTAGAGAAGTTGATAGTTTAGGTGCTTGCTATTAGCAGAAAACTGTGAGCTCAAAAGCTTTTCCTCTCAATGAATCTTGTGTAACATCCAAGCTGACTCAGGACACAGGTGCATGTTCTTGCTCTGAGAAGGTAGAGGAAGGGGAAGGGCCCAATCTAGACAAGGTGTGGGGGAAGGGGGGGACCAACAGCAAAGGCCGCCCTCTGCTGCTGTCTCAGCCCAAACCTTACCTCTGGGAGAGAGGAGCTCACTGCCTGTTGGATCCCAGAGTGACCCCAGAGCCCCAGCTTCCACCGTGGGATGTTCACCTTAGAGAGGCATGGAGATCAGCAGCAGAACTGAAGCAGAGTCCCAGAGGAGCTTCAGTTCTGCAGAATCTATACAGTCTTCTTTACCAAGCATTGACCAGATGCTTAGGGCTTGGGATATCAGAGCTCAAGACTGACATTCCTCAAGGTAAGGAGACCCCTCCCTCCCAGGAAATGGACTCCTCCAATTTTCTCACATGATTATTCAGACACTTTCACTTTTCCATATATAGGAGTCACTCAGGGGCAAGCTCTGACCAGTCGAGGGGAGTGACACATCCGTCCTCAGTCCCTCCCTTCTCACCCATCCTCACCTTACTCTCATGTGTTTGCAGGCAGTTAGGCAGAAGTGAGCCTTGTGGCTCTGCCAAAGACAAGCCCTGTAGATTTAAAGGAAAAACACAAAACAAAACACAAACACAGGCAAAGTCACAGCATTAAAGTCTTTGCCTTGAAGAAGCTGAGTGGAGAAGTGTGGAAAGATGAATGGACCGGTGGATGGCTTGTGTGACCATTCTCTAAGTGAAGAAAGAGCCTTCATGTTCACATCGGAATCTGTAGGAGAGGGACACCCGGGTAAGTAGGTTGTCCTGGGCCAATGGCAGCCTGTACCAAGGGAGTCACTTTTACTAGAGGCCTTAAAAACAATTTGTTAGTTATTATAAGGGTTCTCTGGAGGAGTAAGATAAAGTAATTTTTATTGTATTACTTTGTAGTTTTGTAAAGCAGTCACTTACACAGATGATAAACTGTATGTTAATGAAGCTGAGGGTCCTATTGCTGCCCACCATCAGCATCTCAGCATGAGGGGGCTGCAACAGAAATTATGTTGGCTAAACATGTTATACATACAAAACGTATCATCAAATATAAATGTGTTATCTATGTATATTTTATATATTATTAATGAGCAACTTACATTAACAGAGAATGTCCCCTAGAACAAGACTAAGTTTTGCATGTGAAAGACTGTGCAGTTCAGAAATGAAGAGCGGTGCATTCTACTGAGTGCTGAGATAGAGCTCTAGGCCCTAGAAGTTCCAGGTATATTATCTAAGAGAAGTAGAGATGATTTTGTCAAGAGGAAGAAAATTCAAGCATTTGTTTTGGTCCCTGAAAGGCAGGTGGACTGTGATGAAGGGAAGTGATAGAGGCTTCCGTGGCAGCAGTGAGGACCATGATCAGAGCCTCAGGTTCTCAGATAATGGTTCTCAAACTTCAGGGCATCAGCATCACACAGCGGGCCGGTGCAAACCAGGGTGTCGGGCCCCACTCCCAGAGTTTCTGATTTAGTAGGTCTTGGGTGAGGCTCAAGAATTTGCATTTTTAATAAGTTCCCAGGAGAACCACTGTTCTAGGAGAAGCCTGGGGCTAGACACACTGATTTATGTAGTTAAGCACTTCTTCAAAATTCATTTGAATATTTAGTGTTTTTGGCAACTAGTCACCAAATCTACCTCTTCTTCATCTTCCTCATCCTTGTTCTTTTCAAAGAGATTGAATTTGCATATCTTATAACTCAGCTTTAGATAATCAGTACACTCACTACTCCTTCCATATGCTTTAGTCAGTGGTTCTCAACTGGGGGCGATTCTATCCTTATTCCCCCAAGGGCATTTTGTAATCTCTGGAAACATTTTTGGTTGTTACAACTCTGCGGGGGGTGGAGAGTGATATTGGCATCTCAGTGGATAGTGGCCAGGCATGCTTCTAAACATCCTGAATGCACAAGACCATCCCCCGACAACAAAGAATTTTCCAGTCCCAAATGTAAATAGTGCTGCTCTTGAGAAACCTTGGCTTATGCTAAGTTTTGTATGTGATTTAGCTCAATTCAATTTGAATGACCACTTTCATTGTGCCTTTAACTTTATAAAGTTTCTCGGTTTACTGTACTCATAAACTAAGATTCATTGCTATGTCTGACCCATTCTGCACAGATCCATGGTTTATGAAGGTCATTTATAGGTTAGGAGAAGGATTTGCTCCACCTGGAGGAAGTGGGTATTTTGGCCAGTGGGCCCATCATACACAATGTGTGCTCCATGGACAGAGAAGGAAAATTCCAATCAGTCAGTGGTCTTGTTTACTTAATGACAGCCCTTCAATTTGTCTGATTCTCCTTTCACTTGCTGCTATAAATGAACTGTCCAAATTAGTCAGTTTCTTCTAAGGCTTGGTGACTTTCTGCCTGTCATTCCAGTGCTGGATTCCTTTCCACCTGAAGGGTAAAATTAATGTTTCTCTTTCAACTTCCAAGAAAACCAACCATTGGCTGTCTTAAAGCTGCTAAGTGACATTGATAGAAATTTCGAAAGTCTAAAGAAACTGTTTAGAGAGGGCCTCCTTAGGCATTATTTTAGTCTGTGGAACTATCTTAATACCCTTGCTTAACTCTAGTTTTATCCCTTATATCCCTAATCCTGTTTTCCTGTGTGGATTGGGAACATGTGACCTTTGTCCTTTAAACAAGCAGAGTCATCCATGGTCAGCTTGTGAGTAGCCCCTAGGAGTCCTAATGGGTAAGCCTGAAGTGGATATGTTAGCACAGCAGGTCCTCATTAGTAGGGGTGTACAGAGGCTATAGACTCAGATAAACCTAGATTTTCAACCAGGCTCTGCCACTGGCGGGAGGATGGATAGAAGACCTCAAACATATTTAGTGGCAGTTTCTGAAGGTAGGATCAGAGAATTCACCTTTAATGGCAGACTAACATTTAAATTACATTAATGTTTTAAACAATGCACTTTTGAGAGAGAAACTACTTGATTCTGGATCTGGATTCTTAATTTAAAAACTAAAACACCCCGGCACCCCCAAAAAAACTCCCCAGACCAAAACAACAGAGGGACACAAAGAAACTTTTGGAGGTGACGGGTATGTTTATTACCTTGATTGTGGTGGTGATAGCATAAGTATATACATATGTTCAAACTCACCAAATTGCATGCAGATGTTTTACATACCAATTATACCACAATAAAGTTGGAAAAAAAGACTTATTAATCTAGTACAAAGCAGACTCTAGGGTTATTTTAAACTCTAAATGAGATCAATGTATATAAATAGATGTCACTTTTATTTGTGAACATTGAAAGATCCCATAATCTCAAAGCAATAGTGGGTTTGTCCATGGTGCCTTTTAGTGGCCCACATACTCATCCATGTAGTGTTTAAGGCAAAGAGTAGAAGAATAAGACTAAATCATAGCTCATGTTGAACTTTTGTCAGTCCCACCTTGACTGAGGGAGTCAAACCCATTATTAGAACATCTAGCCTTCAGGAGACTGTGGGACTGTGGGGCAGATCTGGGAACTGTTTATGGAAATGTTTTGCACCACAGCAATGATGCGTAGAGGGTCTCTGACAGACCTTACCAAGGGAGTCATAGACCCGGGCATGCATGGTATTTTATACACAGCGCACTGCGTCTCCTGGAGCCTGTAGTGCAATATATCTGTCCCGCCTGGTTTTACATCTTGGCACCTAACCTTACTGACTTTATTAGCTATTCTAACTTCTATTTCTAGGACTTTTCTAGATGTTACACTTAAAGGGAATATGTTGAGGAATGAGAGACTTCTTAATAAGTGAAATATATTTGTGTATATGTGAATTACTTCATTGTGTTAAAATAGATTTTGGAATGTAGTTTACAGGGAATGCTTTATATAATATACATCATCCAAAATTAGGCAGAAATAGTAGAAATAAAAATTTCAAAATATTTCTATTTTTTAATATTTGAAATATATCTTTTTAGGTAGGTGGGTTTGATACATAAACTAACAAAATAACTAATGATTTTAATATTTCAGTTTGTTATACCTAATATTTCTGTGATTCCTACACATGCTCATGCTTGTCCAGATAAGATCTGTGATCAGATCAGTGATGCAGTCCTGGATGCCCATCTCAAGCAGGACCCCAATGCCAAGGTGGCCTGTGGTAAGGAACACCCAGTCCCTTCCTGCTGGAGACCTAAGTGGGCAAGGCTTGAAACCTTTGCGTATGTTGAGGCCCTTGGCCAGCAGAGTCAGGGACTCCAGAGACTGGGAGACCCCAGAGCTGACTGTGTCTGACTCACTTTACTGAAGGAATCATGGGTGCAGCCAAGTCAGGGTCTTAGCAAGGTCACAGGTTAGGGGTGTCCAGCATGGAGCCCAGAGTGCCACCCTCCTCACTGTCAGCACCCTGTCCTGTCTGCCGCACAGAATGGCCTTCTCACTCCAGTGCCACTCTAGCCCCTGGGTTGAGCACTAGAGAGTCCTGTGCCCCTCTGAGGGTAGACTTCACATTGAGATCTTTGTAAATAGCTGGAGAGAGGTTGGCCTGCCTTGATTCTATGTTCAGAATCCTACTCTGTAAAGCCTGTGGTGAAGTTTTAGCAATAAAGGGGCAGGAGAAGCCTCACATATGTTGACTGCATTCTTTATGATAACTGCATAGAGCCACTGTCTCATTTTAATCCACACCACAGTCTTATTCTTCATCTATTAGTTGAGGAAATAGAGAGGCTACATAAGTTGTCCAAATGCACAATTGGGAGGTGATTGCTACGAAAAACACAGGTGTGGCCAGTTCTTTCCAGAGCATAGTTCTCAGGCAGCATTTGCAGATGGTCAGCACTTAAGCTGGGATTTACTCTTTTTATTAGCACTATTATTTTCTTTCTGGAATCCATTCCTTGTAAGGTTCTTTGTGAGTCTCTTTTTCAGCTTGTGAGCCATCTATGTATTAAGCTTCCCTTTGGGGGCATGTGGCCACTAACTTCTCTCTTCCCTGACAGAGACAGTGTGCAAGACAGGCATGGTACTGCTGTGCGGAGAGATCACCTCCGTGGCCATGGTGGACTACCAGCGGGTGGTGAGAGACACCATCAAGCACATTGGCTATGACGACTCTGCCAAGGGTGAGGGCGGGGATCCTGGGTGTGAAATATGGGTGGGTCTCTGCTGAGAGATCCCCTGAGGCTAAGTCACATCTGAGGCTCTCTGTCTTCTGGAAGTGCAAATATCACCAGAACGAAAAACATTCTGGGCCTGCCTGTCAGGGTCCAGGGGTCAGAATCCATTTCATATCTCCATCCGTTATTGACTCTGGTCTTTGTTAAGGTCCTGCCTTCTTGGTGCTGCCAAAGGCTTTGGAAGAGAAACAAGCACCAAGTAAAAGGGGCTGCGCTTTGCTGGGACATGTTCTCTGCCAGGCATGGGTGCCGGCTTCCTCGTATGCAGCCTCTTACTTGCTTGAGGAGCTCTGCCGTACTTACCATGCAGATCAGGAGACTGAGCTTAGGGATGTAAATGATTTATGTAAGTCGGCACAGTGGGTAAATGGTTGCCGCATTTGAGACTCCTGTGCTTTTGCTAAACTATGCTGCTTCCCATCACAGACAAAGAGATGACAGTCCAGAGCTCTTGTTCTCACAGCAAGTGAAGGAGACAGACTGGCTGAGGGAGGCTCCCATGTGGGACCCTACAAGCGGAGACGGGGCCCCAGCCCCAGCAGGGGTCAACAAGGCGCGAGCACTGTGATCAGGTGGGGTGAGTGCTGAGGGCCCCGAGGCAGACCCCACATCTAAGACTGCGCGGGCCAGGGAGGGGCCCAGTCTGGAGGGGTATCAAGGACAGCACACAAGGGCCAACTGCTGAGGGCCTGCGTACAATGACATCCCATTTACTGGTCGTTCAGGGTGACGTGCAGCATCCTGGTGGGTCAGGGAGGCTGGATGATGCGCTGAGCCTTTATAAGTGAGAGTCACTCATTGCATGAGGGCACAGACTCACAGAAGCTCAGGGCCACCAACCTCTGACTTGCCTGAAATACTCACCATTGAGTGCCGGTTACATCCCCCGTGCAGTGCACGGGGGTATTCATAGAGGAAACACTGTCCTGGAGCAGCAGCTTCTTGACATGTCACCGCACAGACCCTTCACCCAGTTCTCCCAGGAAAGCTGATTGTTTACGTACATATAGACCTTCCTCAACAGCAAACCTTGTTCTGCATTAGGTAGAAAGGAATTTCCCAGGAGGTAATGCCTGCTAGAAAGGGAGAAGTGAGAGAACCCAGCTGTGCTGTGGGCTGCCTGTCCGTGGGCCTGTGCCAGGTGGACAGCGTGTGATGTCATGGAGGCAGCAACCAGGCCTGTGGCTGACCGTCCTCACTGCTCCTGGCCACGGAGGTGCTGGGCTTACTGCCCTATCCAAGCCCTCTCCTTGGTCCCCCAAACTCCTCTCTTTGTTACCCTAAACTCCAGTGTTCCAAATCGGTTGGACCCTGATTTATTTTCAGCACTGGATTTATTATTTAGACAGTAATTAGGTATAGTGATAAATGTTTCATTCAGAATTGGTGAGTCCTTGGCAGCTCTCTAAAGATTGTTCACTGGTTTTTGCTGAATGCAAAGATGATTTTTAATAAGACATTCACTGGGAACAGGAAGCTGCAGAAGACAAAGGTGATGTGATGGTCCCAGAGTGGGGGTGTTTACTGGCATTAAATGCTGCAGTATGAGGTGCCCAGTGGTGAGTCAGGGGCATAAGGGGAATGGAAGGCAGGTGCAGGAGGGTCCAGGGACATTTACTGACAGCTAGTCAGATTTGGGGGTGTGGGGATCAGTTGAGGAGGAGCATTCTAGGCAGAGAGACTTTGTGGGGTAGAAAAGTCATGTTTAAAGCTACCCCCGAGTTCCTGTTGGCTCAAAGACTCCAGCGGGGAGAGACTAAGGCATTTCAGTTTTACTTCATTTGGCAGTAGGTCCTCACTTGAAGCATGTGCAGAAATAATAGATTGGGTCTAGATTTGTTTGTTTGTTTTAATAAACCCATTCTGGCAGCTTGGATAGAATAGACTGGAAAGGTGACAGTTGATCTTGTGGTGGGGTCTCTGCACATTTTAACTTATAAATCACATGATCTCCATAGCTGAGCTCGGCAAAGCTGTGAGCCCCAGCAGGGAGAAGAGCATGCTGTCTATGCACAGCAGCTTTCTCGTAGGCTGCTTGGGCTGGGCTGTTCCTAGCCAAGACCTCTTGAGCCAGTTCCCAGCCTGCTGCACCGGGCCTGGGAGGACCAGCCTTTGTCTCTGTGCTGAACTTCAGGAATGGGCAGACAGGACCTTGGCCTCCAGAGGTGTGCCTTCTCTTTTGCATCAGGCCCTGTGCTCATCTTCAGATCAGAGGACTCTGGCTCTGGAAGTCTCTTTGGAAAGTTCATGTGCACTGTGTTTATTCAGTGTCTTTAATACTTGGATTAGACATATACCTGGGCTTCTGAAACACAGTGTTGGAGGGCCCTTGCTTTTCACTCTGCAGTGATTTTTAACCTGGGTCCTGGGGGCACCCTTGGGAGAGACTAAGAGGATGGCAGGGCCATGAGTCACCCACCTGCTCCTCAGCCAGGGCAGCTGTGGCTGTTATCTGGATTTCATACTGCAGTTCTGTGCAGGATATATATTTTGATCAAGGTATAATTTAATGTAGTAAACATAGCAAAATCCATGGAGAATTTTCTTCTACTAGAGCTCCATGCAATAGTATGGGAAAGGTACATAGCCTTCCCCATCCTGGGCCTCAGCTCTGGGCCCAGACAGACCCCAGCTACTTAGAGACCACCTACCCCAACACTAAATGCCATGTCAGGATGTGAGTGGTTCACCAGGAATCACAGCCACCCTGTCTGACGTGTGTTCAAGCCTGCATTCCCTTCTTCTTAGGCTTTGACTTCAAGACTTGTAATGTGCTGGTGGCTTTGGAACAGCAGTCTCCAGATATAGCTCAGTGTGTCCATCTAGACAGAAACGAAGAGGATGTCGGTGCCGGGGATCAGGTAACTGACTGCTGTACATGGGTGCTGCCTCATGAGCAATGCTGAGGAGCTGGCTGGGGAAGTTCATGTGGGATGGGTTAAGCAGAGTGTGGGGTGGAGCCCTCATCCTAGCCTGAGTGCTGGTAGGTACGTGCCTCAGGGCAGTGACTTGCGGGTACAGTAGGTTGTGGAAGGCTGTGGTCCCTGATGCCTGAGTTAGGCTGGTCTCCCACTTCTAGAGCACCAAGAGGGCGACAGGGACCAAGATGTCCTCTCCACAGGCGCGCAGTGCAAATGTTGCACACACAAGCACCCACACACGTTGGAATGCCTGAGAAGTGCTAGGCTTGAAGGAAGTCTTTGCCCTGTTATCTGAAGTGGGTGTTGCTCAGTCAGCCCTCTCCTGCCGCAGGGCTTGATGTTCGGCTATGCCACTGATGAGACAGAAGAGTGCATGCCGCTCACCATCATCCTGGCTCATAAACTCAACGCCCAGATGGCAGACCTGCGGCGTGCTGGGGTCCTGCCTTGGCTGAGGCCTGACTCTAAGACTCAGGTGAGACCCTCTTCCCTCCTGTGGAGCTCCCGACACACGCCTTTTAGCACCTCCAAGTCCTCTTGATTCATGTCATTGTAAAAATCAAAATGTTCAGTCTGAGCAATCTAAGAATTGTTGATTTTGAAAAGAACTATTTATTTGAAAAATCTTCAACTTTAGGTACTTCCCCCCAAACATTTTATAAGAAAAGTCTTAAAAATACAGAAAAATGGAAAGAATACTTGATTTTTTTTTCCTTCTTAGCATAAATTGACTCTGGTAATGTGATTCTCTGATTTCTGATGCACACATACTTCGTAACAGGTTTCAGGCTTTTGGTCACTGCCCTCCCACACGCAGACGCACACACGCACACACACAGGTCTCCATATCTTGAGCAGGACCTGGACACAACACTAACAAGGACGGTCTGCACCTCACTGTGTCCCTTTTCCTTTGTTTCTCATAAAAAGGCTTTACCTTTACTGGTTTTGACTCTCGTCTCCATGGGCCCTGACCTCTCTGCTCCCTGCAGTGTTGAAATCCTCCCTGGAGCCTCTGTGTGAAGGCCAGCAGTGATGCAAGTGTCAGCACACATGGAGGCCCTGCCTGCCTGCACATCCCTGCCCTGTTCCTCCTGATGACCCCTATGGCCCCTTTCCGTGGGGCTGCTTTCCCTGGTCCCTCTCCCCCATGCCAGTAGGTTCTTGCCACTTCTCCCATACTCTCTCCCGTCTACCCACACCTGGGGGTCATTTTCACCTCTGCACAGCCGGTTCCTACATCTTCCACCTGCAGTCTTTGTTTCTCATAAAAAGGCTTTACCTTTACTGGTTTTGACTCTCGTCTCCATGGGCCCTGACCTCTCTGCTCCCTGCAGTGTTGAAATCCTCCCTGGAGCCTCTGTGTGAAGGCCAGCAGTGATGCAAGTGTCAGCACACATGGAGGCCCTGCCTGCCTGCACATCCCTGCCCTGTTCCTCCTGATGACCCCTATGGCCCCTTTCCGTGGGGCTGCTTTCCCTGGTTCCTCTCCCCCATGCCAGTAGGTTCTTGCCACTTCTCCCATACTCTCTCCCGTCTACCCACACCTGGGGGTCATTTTCACCTCTGCACAGCCGGTTCCTACATCTTCCACCTGCAGGTCTCTGAATCACCAGCCCCATTTCTTGTTTATTACGTAAGCAAATGTGCGCAAGAGCTCATTGGGTGCAGTTGCCCTGTCACCACCTCCTCGTGGAGCACCAGCTTTGGCCCAGTCCTGCACAGTACCCTGCCCTCTCTGCATCGTCTGCCTGTGCTCCAAGTTCCCCTACAGGGCAACCCTTCTGCTCCAGCCTGTTTCCCAGACCAGGGCCACATCCAGGCCATGCCCTCCCAAAGATTCTCCCTGCCTGGAAACTCCAGTGAATTCCCTTGGGCTTCACTTTTAATTTCCTAATATCTGATCTGAATCCTCCACAACTTTCTACTTCCTACAGGTGGTGGGGACTGGGAGGGCACATGTTATTCTGGTATTCCAAGCCTTTTATGGTCTTCCAACTTCACCTCCCTCTGCTCCCCTCCCTGATCTTTGCTTCATGTATATTATTTCACTCATGTTCCCCTTATTCCAAAGTGCTTTGCACCTGAGTTCTCACCCTTCACCTTACTTGGAATCTTTTTCTGGTTCCCGCCTGTCCATCAATGGCCAGTAAAGTGTCCACTTCCTCATGGTTTTCCCTGGTCACCACCAGGCAGAGACTTCCCTTACCCTTGTACTTGGAATTTGGCACATGTGGTTTCATAGCTCAGCATGGTTCATGTGGCTTGTCCCATTGCTTTAGCTGCTCAGGCATGCATGCTTCTCACCCCCAAGCCTAAGGCCACACTGGGCAGAGGGTTGCATATTGGCTGTACCTCGGCAAGGAAGTGCATTTGCAGCCTAAAGGAAACCCTTCCTTGGGCCTTCTGGTGTTATCCATGTGACCAGTGAGTGGCAGGTACTGTCATCAGCATTCCTTAGGTGTTCTTTGAGACTGTGGGGCAGGAGAGCTAAATTCTGAAGGTAGGGATGGAACCAAACGAAAGGGGCACACAAATGGCACACCCCGCCTATCCTGTACCAGGGCTGTGCTGTGATGGGAAGTAGGGTGGAGGGAGAGTCACAGAAAAAGAAATCCTAGAACATGGCTGGAGGAAGAGTGAGACACAACTGAGCTTTATTTTCCTTGCATGAGAGAGGGCCTCCTGCCCCACCAGCCGATGGGAAAGGCTGCCTTCATCCTGCTTAGTAACAAGGCTTCCCAGTTCAGGAGGCACCAGGACTGGAGGGGGCAGGATGGGCTCCTTCAGGGCTTCACTTCCTGCAAGAACACACTGAATTCTCTTAAAAAGGCTTCTTGGGCTACCGAAGTCAACCTCACTGCCCTGCCGCAGGCTGACCCCGAGCCCACTGGCATTGGAAAGGGTGTGGGTTTGCCCCTCGGAGATCTCCCAGAGCCCCCGTGCTGGCCTCTGGGCAGCCTGACTCATCCCAGGCAGCTGCCTCATGCCGAGGGGCACTGTGCCAGGAACAGTTTCTAAGCCTTCTCCTCTAGCCTGTTGGTAAATGTTGATAGGTGTTTCATCATCTAACCAGAGTGCTGGCTGTGAACAGGGTTTGTCTTTCCACCTGAACAAATTCTCGCTGCTGATATTGAGAGAGGGGCAGTACGGGTGGCTATTTTTGTACCTGGTCAGAGTTCTGTTTTCCATGGTATGTTTTTCCCCACATCTTGCTGACATGATGAGATAAGAGCCATGCTTGGAGCCCCTTTGCTCCACCAGAGTTCTGTAATTCTGCAAGGCTGATGCTTGAGGTCTGCAGCAGGCAGAGTGGGAGCCCGAGGGATGGGGAGCAGTGGAAACACCTCCTGAGGCCTGGTGCAGGGGGTCTGCTGCTCCTGGGAGCCCTCGCCCCGACTGCAGCTCTGCCCACAGGGCCCTGTGTACACAGCCCCGCACAAAAGCGTTGCTCTCAGTCCTCAGACGCTGGTGCGCATCTGCCCATCTCACCAGGAGCAGGCGTCGCATGGGCAGGGCTCTTTTCTCTTCCTTCTCCTGGGCCCCACCCTATTGCTCTTTGGACCAGGCAGGATGCCGAATAGGAGTTTGGTAAGGATCTGGTGTTTGATGGATGTCTCAGGGGCTTCAGGCAGGCCGAGACCTTGCTGCAGGCACAGCCCCAGGGAGGCTCTGTTTGCTGCCCTGTGGTCCTGTCAAGGCGCTGGGGTACGGAGTAGTTCTGTACCAAGGCTGTCGGACTCAGCTAAATCGCTGCAGGCCCCACACACCCCATAGCCCTCCAGGCACTGCTCCTGTGGGTCCACATTGCCTTGGTTATGGGGTCAGGATTCCAACATGTCCCTCAGCAGCTGAGTGACAGCCTTCTGCTAGGCAGAACCCCCATACTAGGACAAACAGCTCCAGGCTGTGTATCTTGACCAAGGTGCTATGTCCTGGAACCTCAGCTTTCTTGACTTTAAAATGGGCCCACCAGCAGCTTCTCATAGCTTTCAGCATGGCTTTTTGCAGAGAAGCGCGAGCCATCGATGGGCGTTTCTTCCCAGCCTCACCTGCCATCCTTACTGCCTCGTTCTCTCTCCCTCTGCAAGCCCGGGGTGCCCAGGCTGCCCTCCTTTGTTACCAGTCAGGCTGTGACATTGGGCTCGCTGATATGTTAGTACAGGATGGTGTCTACGGAGAAGCATTTTGTCTGCACTGCTGTGGGAATGACACACGTTTTTGGATCAAGAAAAAGCAGAGTTTGGCTCTTTGGCTTTTCACTGACTGGTGCGTGACCTCAGACCAGTTGTTTCCCTTCTCATAGCCTAGTTTTTCTCATTTGTAAAGTGGAGATGACATTGCCTCTCTTTCCAGGAAGGCTTAAATATTAACTGATAGTGCATAGAATGGCACGGGACTGCCCCGTGCTGGCGGGTGTGAGTATCAGACCTGCCCTGTGGCCTGACCTGCAGGGGTACCACAGGCAGGTTGCTTCCCCCCATGTGCTCTCTGCCTTTCCTTTCTTTTCTGAAATGCCCAGAGGCTGGCAGTGCTGCTGCTCCTGCTTGCCCAGGCACCCTGTGCAAGTCCTCTCACTCTGTCCCTGTAGCAGGCGAGTCCCCTGCCCCTGTACACCGACAGAGCTCCTCCACTGAGGGGCTAGGGCAGCTGGCGTGCAGCCCACAGACTCCTGGGTCCCTTGGCAGGAGCTGGGATACCTTAGCCCCAGGCTGTGGAGGGTCTGGAGAGGACCGTGGCCAGGGGCACAGTCACCGGCATCCAGAATGTCTGAGATAGGAGGAGAGGAATGTAATGGGTCACAGATAGAAAGGAAACTCTTTAACACCTGGGTCTCCTCCAGGGGTCACTAGTTGTGGTCACAGGTGGGAGTAGCTTATGCCTCATGCTCAGTCATCCTGTAGCACTAGGCAATTATTCAAATACAAGAATACACCAGATTAACTTTCCTGGAGGCCCTGGGAGGACTGGAGGCCCCCTTTGGCTGCTGGGAGCTCTGCCTACCTCCTGGCAGCGACATGTCCTCAGCTCAGGGCAGGTCCTCACAATGTCTCCTCCTGCTTCTGGCCACCAGGTGACAGTTCAGTACATGCAGGACAATGGCGCAGTCATCCCTGTGCGTATCCACACCATCGTCATCTCCGTGCAGCACAATGAGGACATAACACTGGAGGAAATGCGCGAGGCCCTGAAGGAACAGGTGATCAGGGCCGTGGTGCCAGCCAGGTACCTGGATGAAGACACCATCTACCACCTGCAGCCCAGTGGGCGGTTTGTCATTGGAGGTCCCCAGGTATGCCCTTGTCTCTGAGCCAGGTCCTGATTTGCCTTTGTTACTAGAGCTGCTTAGCAACCCCAGCACAAGCACAACAGGAGGTGGGTTTTTGTGGCTCAGCCAGGTCTGGCCCTGAACAAAATGTGAAGTCAGCTCCGTCTCCATGGGGCCTGCTATGTATCTGTCAGTACAGGAGCATCAGGCCATGTCCCCAGGGTGCTCCACTCAGTGCTGCTGGCCCTCCCATTCCAGATGGGTCCTACTTGCCCAAGCCACCCTCTCTCCCTCTAAGGTGCCAACTCACCATTGCAGACAGCCGGACCGTCCAGCTGGCACTTACCAGCTCTTTGCCACAGGTACCTTCAACTCTGTGGGCAGCAAGGTGGGACATCTGCTGCCCCCACTATCCCCCTACAGGAGTAAGGAACTGGAGAGGGCAGAGCCCCTCTGTGAGGCTGCTGACCGCTGCCAAAGGGACCTCAGCTGTGGTTGTGTCACCCCAAAGCGGAGCCCCCTTAATAGGTTCTGTGGCCCCATGCAGTGTAGAAACACAGGGTAAGAGGAAGGGAAAGCTTCCCTTTTTTCTCGTAGGATTTGTCAAAGCCTAGAGCCGACAGCGCGGCCGCAGACCCCAGAGCAGGGGATACAGTACTCAGATTTCCCCCAAATCACTTAACGTTGAGCACCCTGCCCTCTGAAAACATTCGCACTGACTGGTGTTGCACAGAGCAGACGCTGGAGAACATGTGCAGCCTGGTGTCATGGGTGGCCCAGCCGGGGCCACAGCCGGGGTGTGTTTATCACAGTGCAGCTCCTTCCTGGGGTTGGGTTTCTCCATTGCACTGACTCAGAGAAACAAAGGCCTTGGGCCTCCAGAGGACCTCCAGCCCATCTTCACTCTCTGATGAGGCTGTGACAGTTCACCTGACTTCCGTAACTGGCCAGTGACTGAACTGAGGTTAGAGCCCAGGATTCCTGTCTGCCTCCCAGCCCAGGGGTCTTTGAAAAATGCCCACAGGCAGCGTCAGGGCCCCCTCTCGCAGTTGTAGTGCAGTGGCCATCACGGTGCTTCAGCCTTCTCCCAGCCATCCCCCGCTTGCATTCTAATCTCCTCCCTCTGTCTCTTCCTTTCTCTTGGCAGGGGGATGCTGGTGTCACTGGCCGCAAGATCATCGTGGACACCTACGGTGGCTGGGGGGCGCATGGCGGTGGGGCCTTCTCCGGGAAAGACTACACCAAGGTGGACCGCTCAGCAGCTTATGCCGCCCGCTGGGTGGCCAAGTCCCTGGTGAAGGCAGGGCTCTGCCGGCGAGTGCTCGTGCAGGTGGGTCTGGCCCATCCGACCCCAGCTCCGCCCTGAGAGAAGACGTGTTGGCAGGGCGGGAGGGTCATACTGCCGAGGAATTGTGACTATATGTTTTGCATCTGGGCACAGTGGCCAGTATCCTAAAAACCTGGGGGAGGGAAAATAAGTATCTTCAAGGAGAAGGGTACACACAGAAAATATGCACTGTGAGGATGGCAGGGATTTCTAGGCAGAGGAGGTGAGGGGAACATACTGGACCAGAGAGGCGTGATTCCAGCTGCTCCTTCCTGTGGACACCCAGGTTCTGTGAGGGGTTCCCTGCACAGAGGCCTCTGTCCCTGACTTTGGTCTCTTCTGAAAGGTTTCCTATGCCATTGGTGTGGCTGAGCCACTGTCCATTTCCATCTTCACCTATGGAACTGCTCAGAAGACAGAGAGAGAACTGCTGGATGTGGTGAATAGGAACTTTGACCTTCGGCCTGGTGTCATCGTCAGGTATAAGTTCTGCCCCGCTGTTACAACCCCCACCAGTCTCTCACCCCTAGAGGCTCAGCTCAGCTAAAGGGAAATGGAAAGGATTTGCGGCTTCCCAGAAGCGAGAGGGTCTCTGATCTCTGGGCCCAGCACAGGGCACACCCAAGGCAGGCTGTCAGGTCCTCTGGCTGAAGGAGGCCGTGTCAGGTCCCTGCTGGCCCCACAGACACTGACTCCACAGGGCATCTGAGCAGGTGGGAGGATCTTAGGAAAATGATAAGGCTGCCTGCTGAGAACTGAGTCCACAAGTCTAGTCCCATCTGCTCCCATCTCTGATGCCTTCTGGAGCTTTGGGTACTGGTGTCAATCTGGTCAGCTCAGTGGGTGGAGGGGAAGGCACAGGGAGGCCAGAGCTCAAATCTGGGCTCCCTGTGGTGCCTCTGTGTGATCAGGCTGTCCCTGAACCTCTGGAAGCCCCTTTCCTCAGGCCCACTGACAGTCACCTCATAAGATGTGGTGTAGCAGAGAAAGGAAGTTTATGGGAAATTGCTCCGAGTGGTGACACTTCACACAAAGACTGTCTTGGTCTGTTAATTCTTCCCATGCTTGAAATTCAGAGAAAGAAACTCTGTCCCTTTTCCATTTAAAATGGCCTTCTTTTCTGATGACTATCCAGGGATCTGGATCTGAAGAAGCCCATCTACCAGAAGACGGCATGCTATGGCCATTTTGGAAGAGACGAGTTCCCGTGGGAGGTCCCCAAGAAGCTCATGTTCTAGAGCTGGTGGGTGCAGGGCCTGGCCTCGCCCTGGGGGCACCTGGCAGGCCGCTTTCTGCCTCCAGGATCCTCTCCTAGATTTCTCAGCCACCGACTGCTCCCTGAGGAGTGCCTTCCCCACCTGCGGCCCCCTCCTGGGATCCTGGCCCCTCTGAGGTAGCCCCATCCTGTCATCACTGCACATGGCAGGGGGCAGGGGCTTCCTGATCCTCGGGATCCGGTCTCCTCATGAGCATAGTCACCAGGCCCTGCCTTTCCCTCAGAACAAGTCAATGTTAATTTAGTGGAAAAACTGCCCCTTTCAAGAATAAATCCCCTCGCTTACCTCCCCTGCCAGCCTGGACCCTGACTAGCACCTCCCGTCCCCTGCATGTGCCAAGGTCAGCACATCTCACAGACCTCAGGGCTCTGCTTGGGCCTGAACACGCCGGGTGTGCCCTTCACATCTGCAGCCAGTACTCTGAGCCAGGGCCTGCAAAGGCCCTCCCAGGCTGGGCATCTGCTGGGGATGAGAACAGGGCCTGACGTCTCCTAAGCATCTGTGAGGTGTGAGGGACTGAGCCAATGACTGATTTCATTTCTTCTTTACTGCAACCCGAGAGGTAACACTTCCTGTTATCCCACTTACATATAAGGACACTGAGGCACAAACAGCTAGGTGACTTCCACAAGGCCCCACAGCCACACCTGTCAGGGCCTCGACATCAGTCCTGGAACTTTGACTCGGGAACCTAACACCCTCACCCCCATCTCACACTGGAAACAGGTCTGAGCAATGACAAAAAGATTGAAATGAGGCTGTGGCTCTGTCCTGAAGACGCACGGTGGCTAGGCAATAGGGGATTAGCCTACTGGCTCTTGGTGAGCCCTGGACAATGATCTGCAAAGTTAGGACAGAACGAAGGACTATTTCATTTGCCTCATTAATTTGAGAAGACAATTCAGAGTGAGCTGGCTATCCTGACCCCTGGGGTGGGGCTTTGTTTGGGAATAAGAAGAAACCATGTAATCCTAGCCCCTGATCACTCGGGACATGCAGGGCTTGAGTTTTGTGGACCTCTTTCCAAGTCCAGTCCAGTCCTATTTGGGCTTCCTGGAGCAAGAGAGCAGCTTGTCTAGCAGGTGGCTAGCAACTTGGACAGAGGCCGGGACCCTGTATCCTTCAGGTCTCTCTCTTGGCCCTTTATGCCCCCCGCAGTCTGAGTGCTACTGGAGTAAGTGGGCGAGTGCCTCAGATGCCTCTTCCAAGAAGGACAGGCCTAAGGCCCAAATATCCCATGTGAAATAATGGCTAGGGGAGGGTGTGACTCCTAGTGGGGAACAAGTTGGCTGCGACTCAATGAGGAGAGTCTGCCTTTGTCAGGTGGCGTCTGGGGGCAGGTCAACTCCTGAGAGACCTGAGTGGTGCTCGGCATGCCAGCCTCCTGGAACCTGCACATTACCTCCCTTTCCATCTGTAGCTGGCACTACCTACCTGCACCTGGGGCTCTGACAGCATCGCTACCTTCTCCCTGCTCCCTGGACCAAAGGCTCCGGCAGGGGCCTCCATGGGCCCCAGGAGAACCCTGCAGCCTGGGCTCTTTTCTGGGGCACACAGTGCTAATTTTGGCTGGGGCAGTAGCCTAGGAAGCCTCATCTAGGGAGCAGACAGCCTGCATCTAGGGAGCAGACAGAAGCACAGAGACCCTAGGCCCTCACTGTCTCTTTAGCACAGAAGGAGGGGCCCAGTTACCATAAAAACCCAGAGCTCGTATCTGATACAGAAGCACTGGTTCCTGTGGGGCTCCTGGGGACTCAGGGAGTCTCAAGTTCCTTTCAGGAGAGGGGAATATAGGTTTGCAGGCGCTGAGTTCTTCTGACTTGGGCCATATTCAAAGTGAAAATTCAGAATTTTATGCTTTCCCTACTCCCTAGAGAAATGAGATTTTTTTTTGTCACCATTGTTTATGTGACACTAGAGCTTTTATTTGTTAATATTTCCTAATAAGACAGTGAATAAAAACAGAAGGAACAACTACTCTAAGCTTCACTTTTGTCTGCAATCCCTCTGAAACCTCCCCTCTGAGTAGCATAACCTGGGGCCCCCACCCCCCAACAAAGTGGGTGAATGCCCCTCAGCCTTCCCCACACCCGGGGCCATCTGTTCCCAGCTGTGGGGCTCATGCAGCACGGACAAAAGTTTTCTCTTCCACCAGCTTCTGTGTTAGGTCACCACATTGTTGTGCCCTGCACCGCACTCTGCAGAGGCGGACATGCTTCAGAACCCCAGGTCACCTGTGGACAACAGGCCCACGGGGGTAGGAGTGTGACCAAGGGCACCTGGCTGCCAGGTGGCTCCGCGGACTTCAGAGTGCTCTCAGTCACCACATGGTGCCACCTGCAGTCCTCGCCTGCCCTTCCTACCTATTAGCTTCAGTAAGACTGGCATGCAGGGGCACTTGGGCAATGCTTATTGAACAGTTGAAGAAGTGAAGTCAAATGAAACGAGTGAACCAAGGAGTTTGGTCTGCAGAAAGATGAGCCAGACCTTTAAATGGGTGCACATTTCCCTGCCACGCAGATTGTGAGGAGAATTAGCAAATGGTTGTTCTGATTAGAAGACCACCCTGTGGTAGCCCCAGGAGAGGAAGTCCCAAGGGCTTGTCGATGCAGGTGGGGAGGTGGGGCCTGCACTATTTCCCACAAGCAGATGGTGAGGAAAGGAGTCCGCCTCCAGGCCAAGGGGAGAGCCTGTGTGGGAGCCTTGGTGAGACCCTGACAGGAGAGAAGCTGATGCAGGGTGCCCGGGAGGGCCGACGTGCAGAGAGACCTGGGAATGCGGCACAGAGAGGAAAGGAAAACCAAAGGCCAAAGGCAGGAAGCTCCTACAGACGTGTTTGAAACAGAATGTGTGTCTTGAGAAGCCACTACATGGGCTGTGCAATGAAATACTTTCCCTACAAATAATACACATTTCGTAAGAACACATACAAACAGAAAGATAAGCATGAAACATTGGATTGCTAGCCTCTGAGGGAAGGTGTTCAAAGAATGGGCTTTATAGGCATGAAAGGCCAAATAGTGAAAGCAAGAAGGAGAAGCAACTTATGAGCCTTGAAACCTTCAAGTACCAGAATGTCACAGTAACCATCAGCAGGAAAGGAGATGGGGAGGGAGCAGCCGGGGGTGCAGGGTGGGGGAGAAAAGCCAGGAGAATGGGGTGGAGTGACAAGTGAGGACAGGATTTCCAGGAGGAGGAAGGAGTCTCCTGTGTGAGATGATCCTGATGGGTGGGATGGTGTGAAGGCCATCAGCCAAATGGAGGTCATCGGTGACCTGGGCAAAGGACAGTCGTGTGGCCATATTCCCCACCACAACTGCAGTCCTTTAGTGCCTTGCATACATTCTGAATAAAGTTTAAGGGGCATGACTAAGCTGTCAGTGTCCTGCATGCCCACCCAGTGGCCGTCTCTCTGCCCTCCTTCTAGGCTTCTCTCCCGGCCAGCACCCCTGCGCTCCAAACTCCCTGCCTGCTTTGGCTTCCCCAGACATTCCTGCCTCACAACTTTTGCACATGACATTCTTCCTCAGATACTCTGCCCTGTTGTTGAATGGATGTGCCCTCTTGTAGGTTTCAGATGAGATTTCTGGGTTTCTGAAAATCCCCTTCCTTGATAAACCTCCTTTTCCTACTCCCTTCCAGTTTTAGTTGCTCGTTTGGCGGTTGACCCAGTGTGTAAATAAGTATTTCTTTATCTACTTCCTGGGGCCCCATTCCCCTCATGACCCCTTCCACGCCCAGCCACTGGCCCTTCTCTTCACAGGGTGGGGCCTTGAATCCTTTCAGTCTCATTTTACAAGTCACCCTCAAGACAGACACTCCCAAATATCCTAAGTTATGCTCAATACCACCTTTATCTGTACAGGGATATCGAAGACTGTAGTCATTAGCGGATGTCAGTGCTGGCTTGCCTATTCCTGTTGGCCCTCAGGACTTGAATTCTTGAGGTCTTACCTTGTCTGCTTTGTCTGCCATTTCACACCCAGCTCCGGTGCGGGCCTGGCACAGAGCAGCTGCCCCACGTGGCTGGATCAGAGCATGAATTCTAGGTGTGTTCATCTCCCCTGCCTCTGAGCTCCCTGTAGCAAAGAGGTTCTGCGAGATGAGGATCCTGTTTACCCTCTGGTAGGTTCTGTGCAGGCTCAGGCCTAGAGGTGTAAATAATTATTTAGTGGAATTATTATTTTAAAAGCACTTGTTAAAGAGCATGGTGCTGTGACTGACACAATTCATTATTTCTTAAACAACATACCATCTGGGAACAGTTCAGCCATCATGGCCTTTGGAAACTTCACAACACTTTCTGCTGATGCTTCATTGTTGCTCAGTGATAAGAGAACAGTAGGGATTGCTTCATGGGTTCCAGAAACAGTTGTTGATTAATGGCTGGGCTCTGATGATTGCATGAGGGGCAGGTGTGTGAAATGAGGGGTCCCTGGGGGGCTCCTGGTGGTCTGGGCCTGGCACAGCTGCTGCCCTCTTGTTATGAGGACCCTGGCAGGGGCTGGATGAGACTCCACTTCTCCAGACAGCAGGAGCACAGGCTGGGATTCTCAGCTCTGCCCCACCTCTCCAGGGCATCTGGGCCACTGGGGCCCTGTTTCTTCATCCAGAGTCAGGAATCTGCCCCAGCATCACGACTCTTACAGTGCATGTGCCGAGGGCTGTGGACAGCTTGTGTCAAGCTGTGGGATATCGGCAGCCTTGGGACTGGAAGCTGGATGTGAGTCGCTATACCCAGCAGCTCGGCTGAGCCAGGGTCAAACTTGTCTGGGGCTGGATGTTAATTATAAGCAAAGAGCAAGGCTGGCACCTCGGGTGGTCTGGTAAGCAGTGGTGGAAACTGAGGCTTGGATGAGGCCTGCCTTCCACAGTAACAGTTCAGGCAGAGCCTGTCCAGGGCCTGATCCATGGCTGTAGGCATTGTGGGCAGAGAATGCACTAGATTCTTCATGGAAACCATGCAGAAGATGTTCTGGAGTTACTTGGAAAGCGGTTTGACCCAGGTGATGGAATTTACAGGCTGTGCCACCTCTAGTGAATTACAGAGCCTCACTGAACCTCCGATTCCTCCTCTGTTACAACGGAGTGAAGATGGGCCCTCACTTCAATGACTGTGGGAGAGAGATGGCAAATGTGAAAGGTCTAGCTAGTGCCTGGTACACAGCAGGTGCTCAGAATGAAAAGTGGTTCACATTAGGCTTCTCCAGGCATATAACACTGAGCCAGCCTTTGCAGACAAATAGAAACAGGACAATTAGCCAGATGAGCTCTGACAGAAGGAGGCACCCCAGGGCAAACTGTATCTACCAGACTAGAGCACGGGAGAAGCAGGGAAGTGGGGAAATTGGGGGCTCTCATGGATACAGCCTGGGTGAATCAGAGGATTAGGCTGTGTCTCTTGTCCTGCGTTGGCATCTGGTACAGAGTAGTCCTCTGTGAAGGTGGAATTGATGAACAGGGAGTGTGACCTGTGGCATTCCTCTACGCATCCCCATCAATTGGCTGCAGTTCTTCATGCAGCCAGCAGAGGGCAGAGCTGACCCACACATTACCTGCGAGATTGAGGCGGGGCTCCTTGGGAGCTCTGTGAGCTACCTGGGGGATGGTGAGCCTCAGCGCTCAGGGAGCCCCCCATCCCTCGCCATGGGTGCAAGCGGCCATTCAGAGCCCCTGAGAGGTCAGGACTCCTTCACCAACATTCTGGGTCTCTGGAACAGGACAGACCTGTTGAGACAAATGTTCATGCATGTGTCTGACCAGATTTCTCAGGGCTTTAGTGCACCTGCGCCTCTTCTTGTCCAGGGAGTGCTCCCTCTTCCTCCTTTGTTAGGGAGGAATTTTCTCAGGGGGAAATACCACGCACAGGAATGCTACCCCGTGTATTGTTTACAACCAGTGATTGTCAGCTAGGAGCTGTCTTTATGCTCATTTTACAGATGTAAAGAACAGAAGCCCATTGCAGCATCGTTGTCATCAATGAGAAGCAGAGCCCCAGTTGAGCATGGAGTGCAATTGTGTCTGTGCATTCTCTGGAGCCCCCTTCCCCTGTCCCACTTTGGTATGCTAATGGCTGGTACCCTTAATGGGAGGTGGGGTGATGGCTGGGTACCTCGGGAGAGGGAGAAGAGGCCACTGGCATCAGGCTGTGCTGGTCTGGGAAAAAGTTATTTTTGAGTCTAAAACACTCCTCTTGTTAGGTTGCAGTCCTTGCATGGGGCCTCCCAGGACACCTTTGCTTGATGCCACCCTGTCCCCAGCATGTCCCTACTGCACTGCTTCTCACTGCTTGGGGCTCTCTAACCCCCTGTTCAGGGTTGACCTGTCTACTGGGACCACTATGGGCCACTGGGATCATAGGTGGGTGTGGGCCCCATGACACATACAGCAAGGCTACCGGTAAGCTCTCCACTGCTCCTGGACCAGAGGAACGCTCAGAGGTAGCCAGGTGGCACCCTCCTTCCAGGGGTAGCTGTCCCTCCCTAGGAACTGGTCACCCCCGACCCCCACCCTGCAGACATACAAACACAGATGTGACATACATCTAGACATTCCTATGTTGACATAGGCAGAGACACGCATGTAGAAATGCAGAACTGATGTGATACAGATGTGCTGTCCCTGCATTCCCCCTCAGACCCAGAAGTCACACACGTATCAGCAGGCATGTCTCCAAGACATGTCCACAGGGACAGGGCTGCTGGGTTGCCTGGACAAGGCATTTTGGTGGAAGAAAACCTTGCTAGTGGCCAGTGTCCTACAGTGTTCACCAGCCATAGTTGAACTCCTGAAGGCACCCCAACCCTGAAAGTCCCTCCAGGCTGGCTCCTTACCTTGGGCAGAGTGGGGCCCATGGCCTGGTGTGTCCTCTGAGTTTTGGGTGGGGGCACGGCCATGTAGCTTAGAGTTCGAGTCCCAGCTCTGGCAGGGTGGGGCCTGCACTAGGTTTGCAGAGAGCTGAGTTCCTCTAGTTCAGG